CCTTCGTCTGCCGCTGCTGCTCGCTGCACCCGCTGCCGCCCCCGCTGCCGCTGCTGCTGCTGCTGCTGCTGCTGCTGCTGCTGCTGCTGCTGCTGCTGCTGCTGCTGCTGCTGCAGGCTGGTGGGGGACTTCCGCAAGGGCCTCTGCAGGGCCCTGGTGGCCACCGACGTGGCCGCGAGGGGCCTCGACGTCCGCGACGTCCAGCTCGTCCTCAACTGCGGAATGCCCAGAGACATCCACTCCTACATACACAGAATCGGTCAGCTAGCCAGCTAGCTAGCTAGCTAGCTAGCTAGCTAGCTAGCTAGCTAGCCAGGTAGCTAGCCAGCTAGGTGGCTAGCCAGCTAGCCAGCTACACAGACAGCTAGCTAGCCAGCTAGATGGCCAGATAGCTGGACAGCTAGGTTGCCAGCTAGATAGCCAGCTAGCTAGACAGCTAGCTACCCAGCTAGCTACCCAGCCAGCAACTAGCTAGCTAGCCAGCTAGCTAGCCAGATGCTTAGCTGGCTAGCTAAACAGCTAACTGGCCAGCAGCTGGCTAGCCAGCCAGCCAGTTAGCTAGCTAGTTAGCCACCTACCTCGCTAGCTAGCTAGCCACCTAGTTAGCTAGCTAGCTAGCTAGCTAGCTAGCTAAACAGCTGTGGCTAGCCTGTGTTCGTTTGCTGAGCCACTGACTGGCTTTGAGGTGTATGTACACCGCAGGCCGCACTGGCCGTGCGGGCGCCAAGGGCACCGCCGTGACTCTTTTTGGCTACGACTTCCCTACCCCGGAAAAAGTGAGCTGCTGCTGCTCCTGCTGCTCCTGCTGCTCCTGCTATTGCTGTTGCTGTTGCTGTCGTTGTTGCTGTTGCCGTTGTTGTTGCTGCTGTTTCTGTTGCTATTGCTGTTGCTGTTGCTGTCGTTGCTGTTGCTGTTGTTCTTGATGCTCTTGCTGCTGCTGTTGATGTTGTTTTTGTTATTGCTGTTGCTGCTGCTGCTGCTGTTGTGGTTGTTGCGGTCGGGGTGCTGCTGGGGGTGCTGCCAGCGTCGGCTTTGTGGCTGGGCTGCTGCTGGGGCGGCTGAAGACGCTGTAGCTGGTTGCTGCTGCTGTCGCTGCTGCTGCTGCTCCTGCTGCTGGCAGCAGCAGCCGCAGCAACACCGACTTCGTTATGCGATCTGCGCAAAGGAGAAAATGTTTGTCTTGCGCCGCCTTTGCTGTTGCTGCTGCTGCTGTTGCTGCTGCTGTTGCTGCTGCAGGGCAAGCAGGCCGCAGCTCTCTGCCGCGTTATGCAGCAAGTGGGGCAACAGCCGCCCGAGGAGCTGCAGCAAATAGCCATCAGCAGCAGCAGCAGCAGCAGCAGACGCGGCAGTAGGGGGGCATTCACTAAAAGGGGCCCCAACAAGGCGCTACGGGAATTCTGGTGAAACAGCAGCAGCAGCAGCAGTAGCAGGAGGAGCAGCAGCAGCAGCTCGTTAGTCTGCAGCACGTGCTGCCATCCCCGCGACAACAGAAGACGACATACAGTAGCAACGACGTAGCTGCTGCTGTGCCTTTTTGCTAAAGCAGCAACAGCAGCAGCAGCAGCAGCTGCTGCTGCTGCTGCTGCTGAAGGCAATAGCGGCAAAAGTACCCACGACTCCATATGGATCGGCGTGCTGCGGCTGCCGTTGCTGCTGCGCTGCAGCTGCTGCTGCTGCTACTGCAGCAGTGGCAGAAGGAAAAGGATTTGTAGCTGCCTGCCGACCGAACTGAAACAGCTGCAGCAGCAGCTGCTGCTGCTGCTGCTGACATCTAAATTGTGCTTCCTTGTCTGTTTTGCCTGGAGGCCCCTTGAGATATTTAAAATAAATGATAAATAAATATATTTAAAATATTTAAAATAAAATTAAATGATGAATAAATATAAAAAATATATTTAAATGCTTAATAGTGTTTAAATGCAGCTCCAACTTGCTGCAGGAGGCAGCAGCAGCCAGAGCCACAGGCGCGCAAAACTGCTACTGCTGCTGCTGCTGCTGCAGCAGCAAGCGAAGCAGCAAATTAACAACTAAGAGCAAGCAGCAAGAGCAAGCACGCAGCCCCCTGGTACTTGTTGCTGCAGCGGACAGGAGCAGGAGCTGCAGCAGCAGCCGCTGCTGCTGCAGTGCCCGCTGCCAATGCTGCTGCTGCCTTGGCAATAGCAGCAGCAGCAACAGCTGTTTCCGCTGCCGCTGCTGCTGCTGCTGCTGCTCGGCCTCCCGAAGTCCCCCAAAGAGTCCCCGTGGGCAGCGCAGCCACCGCAACAGCAGCAGCAACTGCAGCAGCAGCTGCTGCTGTGAATGTGCTCACCTCCGCATGGGGAGCCTGGCTGGCGCCTCTGCTGCTGCAGCAGCAGCAGCAGCAGCAGCTTCTGCTGCTGCCACTGCTGCATTTGCGTTGTAGACATCCGCCAAATCTGTAAACCACTTTTGCTCTCCTAAAGAAGAACGCGCTTCTGTTGCTGCTTCTGCTGCTTCCGCCAAGTAGAAAGCGTTCAGCCTTAGCAGCAGCAGCAGCAGCAGCAGCAGCAGCGGGAGAGGCAGCGGCGGGGTGGGGAGGAGCAGCTGAGGGCTCAGGGCTAGGGTTTGGGGCCCAGAGAGCCCGGGTTGGCGTGGAGGCGTAGGGTTTAGGGTTTAGGGTTTAGGGTTTAGGGTTTACTTGATGTCGAAGAAGTCGCGCCAGGGCAGCGTCAAGAAGTCCCCGTTGTGGATTTCTTTTGCTGCTGCTGCTGCTGCTGTTTCTTTTGCTGCTGCTTTCATTTCTTTTTCTTTTATTTTCGCGTAAAGACTATCCACTGCAGCCTGCGGGATTTCCATTTGCTGCTGCGATGACCCCACCTGCAGCAGCAGCAGCAGCAACAGCAGCAGCGACAGCTGATGCTCTTAAGACGACAGAGGCACCAGTTAGAAGTCCGCAGCAAGTAGAGGAACAGAGCAGCAGCAGCAGCAGCAGCAGGAAAAGGAATTGCTGGCGCTGCTGCTACTGCTGACACGCAGCCTGCGGAATCAAAGGTTTACTGCAGCAGCGGCAGCAGCAGCAGCAGCAGTGCGAGCTCGGACGCAGTCAGCAGCAGCAGCTGCTGCTGCTGTGGTAGTGGCGGCCGCGGCGGCAGCGAATCTGTCTGCCCCTGCTGCCCCTACAGCAGCTGCAGCTGCTGTTCTTGCTGCTGCTGCTGCTCTTGCTGCTGCTGCTGCTGCTGCTGCCTCTGCTGGTCTCGATATAAGCCTGTGGAGCTGCGGCCGCGAGTGCGGGGCAGCAGTTAGCAGCAAATAAGGTGGAAGTGTCTAAAATAAAAAGAAATAGTGAATTAAAATAATAAATGTAATATTATAAATAAACAATTAAATGAATTAAGGCAGCAACTCACCTGGATCCGCTGGATGCTGCGCTTGCCGTGCAGCAGCGACACCGCCACGGAGCGCTTCGGCAGCAGATTGAGCATTTTGTTGGGCGCAAAGTTGAAAAGTAAATAATTAATTGACGGCAGAAAAACTAAGAAAAAAGAAAACTCAGAGGCTTCCTAACAATGCATGCAGCAGCAGCAGCAGCAGCAGCCGCAGCAGCAGCAACAGATGGAGTGTATGGACGGCTGCTCCGTCAAACAGCAGCCCGCGGCCCCTCCAGTTATTTGTTTTGCATTTTTATTACAAATAATCAAAAGTTTTATTCTTTTGAATTATTTCTCTTTCTAGTTTTTTATATTTCCGGCCCGGGGGCCCGCCACCCCCGCCGCCGCCTCGGGGTGTATGTACACCGCAGACACAACCACTAACCCTAAACCCTCGCGCCAAATCCTAAACCCTCACACCAAACCCTAAACCCTAAACCCTCCGTGAAGAGCCTTTTAGAGCCGGGCCAAGTCTCTAACAAGTTAAGGTGACAAGCAAATTAGGGTTTAGGGTTTAGGGTTTAGGGCTTGGGGCTCGGCTGCGGACTTTTTCCCGCCCTCCTCAACTGAAGGGGCAAAACAGCAGCAGGACACATAAGACCAAAGTCTCACAGAACTACAGAAGACTAGCAGCAGCAGCAGCAGCAGCAGCAGCAGCAACACAAGGATGGAAACAGCAGCTCCGGCGGGGGCGAACTCCTAGAGCCAGACACTTCGTGTTGCCTCTAGATTGCAGCACAAGCGGAGGCCGCAGCCTGCTGCAGCAGCTGCTGCTGCAGCTTGCTGCAGCAGCAGCTGCTGCAGCAGCAGTAGCCGC